GATACTATTAATATGAACATTTTATAGTCCTTGCAAATAAACACAAAACTAGAAATCTGATGAAATTATACAGATGATCAAACTCTATATTGCTTGTATAAAATTATGTAAAAGATAACAAACTATGCTCTCACAAATTACTATAAAGAAAGTGAAATAAATCCAGAAATAGTTATCCTAACCAATTGACAAAGATTAATTAAAATGCTGTCAAGTCGTGTAAATAGTGCTGGTGTGAATGTGAACTGAAATAACATTTGTGAATAACACATTTGCATTTTTTCCTTACAGTTTATTTTTATAGCATTAAAGCATGTGTTCTTTAATTTTGATAGTTTCCACATTGGGGCATTTGTATCAGATGATGAAAGGTTAATGAGATTTTGTACATATGGGATACAGTGATCACTACTAAAAGGATGTTGAAAAACTCCTTGAAAAAAATGTTTGACTGGATTATAGAAAAATATGTGCAGATGCTACTAATATTGAAGATGATATGAGCTTTAATATTTGGAAAAGAGATGTACAGTGTTTCAGTAAATTATAATGTAGCATGCTATAATTCATGCAAGTATGTGGCCATTTCTGCCCAAGACCATAGAATGATAAGAACAGGTGCATCCTAGACCTCCAACTGTCACACTCATTTTGCATGGGATTGTAATCTTATTGCTTTATCCTCATTTACTTTTCCTCCCCTGCTGGTCTACTATTTCACCAGTAGCAGTAACATCATTATCTTTGCAAGGTAAACTTATGACGTTCTCCAATCTTTGATTATTGTCAGAAATGAAATCAGTTCCAAAACATCATCAACATGGAACCATGCCCATCCAAATTAAGGGATGAGACACATGGTTATATAGGAATATGCAAGTAGATTGTGCCTATTTTAAATATTTAAGACTTTAAAGAAGATCATTTTTTTGTATTTACTCAATTTTTCTACTGTATGTTTACTAGTGTTAAAACTCTACTGCCTACCCCTTTTTTATTTTGAAATGCAGCAACAAGAACAACAACCATCCCAAGACCAGTTTTTATTCAACAATAGATAAATTTCCCTGATCAACACTTTTTATTTACTTGTCATGATGTGACAAGTAAACCCAATTACTCCTTATACATGTAGAAAAGTAAACTGCCATCTGACTGACCTCTACTTTCCCAACACCCAAATAACACTCTAATAATACAAATAACACTCTAATAATACAGGTCTAGAGTGTTCACATGAACAAAAATTATTATTCCCTTTAATGTGAAAATAGTGTGATGAGGAACAATGTCAAAACACTGAGGCAGTACTGTCCTTTGGAACCAGAAAGGGTGCTTAATTACATATAAACTAATTGATTACATCAGTCAGTCTATGATTTGCACAGCCTCTTTTAACACTCATTAATTCATATTCACATATTACAAGTTGATGAGAAAACATCGATAACTAATTACTGTTAGTTCACCTGACTACTAAGCTTTACAGTGACTTCTTAGTTCACACGTTCTGAACAATACCTGCTAAAACCTTCTTATGATTATCTCATATTCTGAACCCTCCAAAAATTATTAACTTTCATGTTTTAAGATATTATAATTTAGCATTAATTCTTTCCTTTTTGATGAAATAATTTAAACAAACTAAATGTCCCTAACTACAATGTGATCCTAGTCCTCTTTTGTCACTGATATTTATGAAAATACATGAAATAAAAACAGATTTTTTAAAAGAATATTGTATTATGGAGTGTGATGGCTAATCTTGAATGTCAACCTGACTAGATCTGGGATTAACTGAAGTGAGAGAAACTTTCTTGTTCAGATCATTTGAAGCTGGAAGATCAACCTTAATGTGAGTGTTCCTTTCTGATGGCCGTGGAAGAAGGGATATTTTGCTTTTTGTCCTTTGTCTTCTCTCTCACTGGTGAGTTTGTCTTGCTGCTGTGACCATCTTCTTCAGATTCCAATGTAGACTGAGGATTAGCTGATTTTTTGGAATTCATCAGGTCATCAGTACCAGATTGGAACTAATGAGACATCCAGCCTCATGGAATGAGCAACAACCAGATTGTATTCTCAGCCTTTCCAGTGTTGTGCCACCATTGTTAGACTACTCAGACTCTATACTGTAAATTAATATGATGTGGAATATATATAGTCTACTGATTCTGTTTCTTTAGAGAACCCTGAATAATACATGGGGTCTGAAAGGATTGCTCAGTGGTTAAGAGAAATGACTGTTCTTACAGAAGACCTGGGTTCAATTTTCAGCACCCACATGGCGGTTAAGTCATCCATAATTCCAGTTCCAGGGGAATCCTACATCCTTTTCTGATCTCTGTGGGCATTGCATGACATGAGTGCACTTACACACATGCAGACAATGCACTTATACACATAAGATAAAAATTAAACATTTTAAAAGAATATTACATCATGTTAAAAATTTCTAATTACAGTGCAGAAATCAATAGTGATTTACCGGAAAATTATATTTAATGATTTGTTAGCTGACAAAAATCTACAAGACTTTAATAATATTTTGACATTGGAGAATTAGGAACCGATACATATTAAAATAAATAGTTTTACAAAACCACTTTATTTTTCAATTTAGTTGCCAGAACTATTTACCTCCTAGTATAGTAGGGTGATGTGGCATGACTATGTTTGGAATTGACCTTACTACCTAACAAACCTCTGATGCTAATGCAGATAAGTATCCTGTAATCTGGAATGGCTGATCATAGAGGGCCAAAGTTTAGGTAGGAAGGGGTAATTTTGAAAATCCTTGACTGAAGCTGGCACTGAATCCCGATGTGTAAATTTTTGTTGTTTCTGGAGTTGTTATTTTTAAGATGGGTTCTCATTTTCCTTGTGTTTATTGGTAAATATTATGACACTATATCTTTGGAGTGATGCGACTATGCCCATTACAGTTTTAAATCTAAGATTCAAAAAACTCTGAAATGCTTCTATACATATAAATTGAAATAAAAAACAAAAAAGATTCATGAAAAATAATGAAAGGGTAGTTGGTTGGGGAAGAAATAGGAAAAGGAGAAAAACATCTACAAAAACATTCCACAGTAGATAACCAAGACAGAAGTAAATTAAAGTTATGGTGTAAGGATAAGGAATTAACAACTTATTTCATTTCTCTGGGCCGGGAATAAAGAAAAAGAACTATTGCTCAAAACTAAAACTACCAGTGATAATGAGAAAAAGTGACTCAAGATGGAAGGAACATAAAAGAAATGGAACAATGATGGTGTAATTAAGCCTCCTAGCTAAAGCTCAATGAGACACACATGACACGATCTGGAGCTAGCTGTGATAATTATTTTATATGTGCCTGAGAAGCATATGGCACCCTGAAATGATGTGTCCACATATGTTGTTGGGTAATGAGTTTTCTTACTGTGCTTATGTAGATTAGTTATTCAAGTGCAGTATGGCGCACCATACCACCTGCCACCTTCCTGACTGTGATACAGACCGTAAAAATTAGTGTACCATACATTTGTGCAGAGAAGGCGGTTCTTACTAACACTGAACATTTTATGTTGGTGATGGCATTGTACTATATGCATAATCAACCCTCAATTTTGCTAGTTCTGAAAGAATACACAAAATCCAAAAATAGAAAATAAAGATGTGTGTGCAATTGTTTCTGTATGTTTGTGGGTGTGTGTGCATCTGTCTGTGTTTGTGTGTTTGAATGTGTGTAAGAGAGTAAAGGAAATTAAGAGACAAAGGAGGAATTTTAGTACAGTGATGCAAAAAGAATTAAGGGAAACTGTCCATTTCGGCTTTTTAATATCATCATGCCTTGATTCATGCTAAAATAACATTTTTAAATAGACTGTGCCAATTTAAATTTTTCTATATTACATCATTCTATATTACATACCATGGAAATCATGGTATTTTTATGAGGTTATTGTTAAATTCTAAAGCTTATGCATATCAGTGATATTTGTAAAAATGTACAGTTTTATTTTAATCACCGATATACCTTAGTATTTTTGGATGACATTCTAGAGATTTACTCAACTACTTTCTACGAGGAAAGATAGAATTTTGCTGCCTATAATTTCAGTAGATCAGAAGCATCCCAGAGTTTTTTGAATCTTAGATTTAAAACTGTAATGGGCATAGTCGCATCACTCCAAAGATATAGTGTCATAATATTTATCAAAAAACACAAGGAAAATGACAACCCACTTTAAAAATAACAACTCCAGAAACAACAAAAATTTACACATCAGGATTCAGTGCCAACTTCAGTCAAAGACTTTCAAAATTACCCTTTCCTACCTAAACTTTGGCCCTCTATGATCAGCCATTCCAGATTACAGGATACTTATCTACATTAGCATCAGAGGTTTGTTAGGTAGTAAGGTCAATTCCAAACATAGTAATGCCACATCACCCTACTATACTAGGAGGTAAATAGTTCTGGCAACTAAATTGAAAAATAAAGTGGTTTTGTAAAACTATTTATTTTAATATGTATCTGTTCCTAATTCTCCAATGTCAAAACAAAAGAGAATAATGTATCTATTGTCTGAGCATGGATTTCTTCCTCAAAAGACTATTTTTTTATTCTTTCTGCCTTTTGTCATTTTAAAAACTAAACATAAACTGTATATTTCAAAGTTCCAACAAATATTAAAATCTTAATTCTCATAAGATCTAGGACTTTAAGGATAATCAAATAAACTCATTATTTTCTTTGATGTATAATCTATGAAGAGCTTGAGTGTATATTGTATCCTGTAATTGTCCATGAGTTTAAATTTCTCTCTCTCTCTTTCTCTTTTTCTCAGACACACATACAGAGATTATAGTGCTTATTCATGTGGATTCTGTTTCTTGATGATCATTGAATTTTTTTTTCTTCAAAAAACTTACAAAACTTACTTTTTCAATTTCTTTGAAGTATTTAAGTGAAGTTTTAATTAAGTCTTATGAAAATGTCCCTAATGTTTCAGTACTGTAGTGATTCTCAGGGACCTTAATGACTACATGTTCTTAAGGCTTGTAACATGGCCTTATTATTGCCATCACTTTTTAGATCTCTGTAAACACACATTCAGCTAAGCACATCAGTTGGCTGGATTTGAATTATGTTTTTCTTATAAAACTGTATTTTATAGCTTTATCAAATGGTTTCTTTCTCCTTAATTTGCTACTATTCATTAAACTTAATTTTCCATGGAGAATAGATTGTGAGACAGACTTGCAGGAATTTTGTTGCAGTATCCTGACAAATCTTGGAAATGTTATGTAATCAGTGCCACAATAGCAAATAGGTGAAAGTAATTCATTGTCATTCAAGAGTTTCAACCTCTGTCTTCCCATTAGATTCAAATGTTCTGTTACTGCCTTTCTGTAGTCCTTAAATGTGAGCTGTTCTCTTATGTGACAGCATACTATTTATTAAATTAGCAGTAGGATACTCATATGAGATTGTTTTCCACAAAGACTGAATGAATGCCTCAGTCTTTCTGGAGATTTTTCCCTATGTCAGATCTTTCTGGATCCATTACAGTCTTCCACAGACCAGTGCTGCTGAGAATCAGTTCAGTTTGTACATAATACTCATAACTTTTAACGGTTTTTTTGGTCTTTTTGAGACAGGGTTTACCTGTAACCTCACTTATCCTGGAACTCACTATGTAGACCAGGCTGGCCTTGAACACGCAGAGATTCACCTGCCTCTGCCTCCCGAGTGCTGGGACTAAAGGCATGAGCCATCACACCCAATGCTCATAACATTTAAAAATCAATTCTAGATTCCACCTCATTCTTTATGAGAAGCCTGTGGCTTACCTGGAAGTGCCAAGGACACTACCTATTGTAAGCTCTCAGGTAAGTTCCTGATTAGGTGTTAAGGGCCTTACTTCTGCCTTTGTCCAAACAAAGTGAGGAACATGTCATTTATTATTAAGTAATGCTCCAGAGAGTTCTCTGATACAAAGTGCTCAACTTTTTTCCCATTATTTAATAGTCAAGGCATGTTTTTACTCAAGAATATGTTCTTTTTTCGTTGCAAAGCTCCAGAGTATTAAAGATTATATTTTTTAAAACTAATCATTGATATTGGAGTGGTTTGGATGAGAAGTTTCCTAGAAGTATCCTAGGATAGATAGCTTTATCTGTCAATACATCTGAGTACAGGGAGCTTCAACTGGGGAATTTCTTCCATTGGACTGTCCTGTGGCCATGTCTATGTGGTATTTTCTTGATTCTTGATTGCTATGGGAGGGCCCAGTCCACTGAAAGTGGTGTCACCCCTGGGCAGATTGTCGTGTATTATATAAGAAAGCAGGCTGAGGACTCACCAGAGAATTAAGCCATTAAGCAATGTTCTTCCATGATATGTGCTTCAGTTCCTGCCTCTAGGTTCCTGCCCTGAGTTCCTACCTTGGACTCTCTCAGAGACAAACTGTGACCAGTGAAACGTAAGCCAAATACTTTTCATCCCCAAGTTGGTATCGGTCAGAGTGTTTTGTCACAGATATTGAAAGCAGACAAGAACATGCCTCTGCATAGACTCAAGTGTTTGATTAAACACTTGCCTCAGTTGGTATCATTGTTGGCAGAGTTTTAGAAATCATGGCCTTGATAGAGGAAACATGTCACTCGGGGTGGTCTTTGAAAGTATATAGCCTTGTTCCACTTCAGGTTTTGCTCTCTTTCCTATGCTTCCTTGAGATGTGTGCCTTCTGCTTTCTGTTCTGGCTCCCTCCTACTATGCCTTCCTTCACAATGGAAAGAACTCCCAAATAAACTTGTCCTCCTATAAGTTGCCTTGATCATAGAGTTTTATCACAGTGAGAAATGTAACTAATCTAGCTGTATCTTTAGTATCATAATTTTCTGCCCTTCACCAATTAAGATGTAGGGTCTATCTGTTTCCACGGAATGTGGAATTACCACATCTTCACTCAAGAGGAAATTTGGAAGAGGAATTTTAAGACAAGAGTTGACTTACATTGCATAGTTGAAGAGATTGGATTGTTGACAACATATACTTACTTCAGAGTCCATTCTTGCATTGGGCTCGACTGAAACCTGGCTAACTGACTTCTCACTTGATAAGTATGTTGGAGAAATGTTTCAATGTGCTCCATATAATGCTTATCAAATCACAAGAGAGGTGCCGTGTGTTTTCCCTTTAACAGTTTTAGGTGCAATGGTAGTGATGCCATTCTTCAGAGATAAGTTGCAGTTTCACATCCAATTCTACCACGTCATAAATCTTGACTGATGAGCTTGACCCTGAATTTTACTTGTCTGCAACCAACTGAACAAGATTTCCTACAAACCAACACTGTGGTACCCTGTTCAGTCCTGTCAATTGTACTGTTAGGTTGACTGAAGGGAGCCTTATAACATACTCTTGAATTTCATGTTACATTATAGAAGTGAAGTTTTGTTTGAGAAAACAGAAAATTTTAATAGAACCCAATATTAACAAGCAATATTAGATATGTGTATGATGACACATGCCTGTAATCTTATCACTCAGAAGACTAAACCAGTGAATTGGAGTTATAGGCCTCCATGTCTGGCATATCAACATCATGTTTCAACCAACAAACCAATCATCCAAACAACCTACGAAACAGCCCACTAACCCAAGCTCTCTACTAAATAAAATACTTAACAATATAGTAAATACTTTTTCTCCTTTTGTGGCATGAGCTCTTTTAAAGCTACATGTTCTGAACTATGTAATTTGCAATACGAGCCAACAATAAAAGAAGATATATAAACTTGAAGGAATGTTTATGATGTCTTGTTATACACAGAAATTGTTTGGTATTTCTCTACTTGGAATAGAGTAGGTACAAACTAATCACTGTGGGATATTTTGACAGTTTGAGGCTCTAAATTTATATTAACATAGAATAATAATCTCCATTTGGATTTACAAATTTTGTGGTAGTCTAACCCTAAGTGACACACCTACCATGCAACTTCTACATCTGAAGCTCAGGGAGCATAGCAGAATGGGAGGGGGGTTATAATAATGTATCTCTCAATTCTCACCAGCAAAGTTTCCTCGTGCAACAGATAATAATTAACCCAAAAAGGCACAGCTAGCCAAAGTGCAGAGAATAAGAAATGTCAGAGGTCTTATCCTTGAATAGGATACCTATATCAAACCTCAAACACCAACGGTTCAGGGATTATTGTTGAAGAGGGAGTGGAAAGATTGTAAGAGCCAAAGGTGGTTAATGACCCCAAAGAAAAGGAGTTTTCCACGCAGCTGAAAGATATTCATTTGAACTTGCAGCAATGGTAACAGCATGCATAATATCCACACAAGTTCAAGTCAGATAACATCCCAGCATAGAAGTGGGAAAGTGGGTAAGAAGCTCCAACCTTAGCTGTCAAAATATTGGCAACAGATAACTACTGAAAGGAATGTTATTTTTTTAAGGATGTGATGCTAGATATGTTCATCTGGCGCCAATGGATAGACAGGCAGGGAAAGACATTTGAGAACACTAACTTGGCCCAATAGATCTTAACATATATGACAGAGTACAACAGATCTGGGAGGGGAGTGGTCTATAAGAAGGGTGCAGATTGGGGATGGGAGTCTAAATATAATACAAATATATTGTATGAAATTTTTGACAATTCAATAAAAACAGGAAAATGAAACCAACCTTAAGTAACACTAGTATTTCCATACAAATATTATAAGGCTGAATTTCTCAGTAAGTAGTCTGAAAAAGCATGTCAGTGAGTTATTTTCTTACAAAATCCTTCTTGTTTTTTAGTTTATTTAAGAAAATTAAATTACAATTTCATTAGCATTCAAGTAAAGGTTTTAAGGAACCTTTCCATTTAGGTGTCTGTGGTCTCTCATCATAATGTGGCATGGCGCAGGAGATGCTGATCATGAAATAGAGGAAGAAGGGAAACATTATCAATTAAGAGAAGAGTTTTCAATTATTTTAAAACATTAATTAAATATCTCCAAGGAAATATGGTAATTAGAAAAATGCAAACTACTGATTACACTTCAGTTAGCAGTGAATTTGAAACATATGGCACAATTAAATCTTTATGGATCAGTGGAAATGTAATGAAGGTGCTTTCCAAAGTCACCGTTGAGATGACTCATGAAGTGAGAGAAACATGAAGGTCTTCTGTATATGAATTCCATTAATCCATGGAAAACTAATTTGCCATCATATTAGAATTTAAATACATCTTAACTATATTATAATATACCTTTTACTTACACGATTTAAAGATTTAAAAACAAGATCGTGATTTCACTTCTGAAAAATATTCATAACTTGAATGATTAAAATTTTAACTTGGTTGAAAATCTTCAGAGTAGTTTGCCTTATTGTCCTGCTAGAAAATGATTTTTTATAAAATTGATTTGGACATAATGTAGGTAGAATAATATTTTCTGAAGATAACATTGATGCAATTTAAAACATGACATAAAATTAATAGTTTCCAAAGATTTAGTCATATTCTCCAGAGCCATCATGATAAAATAATTCAACTAGATAGAAACATAGAACACTAGACCAGCTGGAAATCTGGAATTCATTTAGACTAATTTTGTCATTTGATAGAAAATTAGACTCAAAGATTCAGCAATTTGCCTAGGCTTATATGCCTAATAGTGATAAAGCTATAAATCAAACTGATTTTTTTTTTAATTTTTAAAAATTTTTAGGAAGAAGCATTTCATCTTCTTGGGAGGCAGAGGCAGGTGGATCTTTGTGAGATCGAGGCAAGCCTGGTCTACATAGTGAGTTCCAGGACAGCTGGGGCTACAAGGAGATCCTGTCTCAGAAAGAAAAAAAAAGAAAAAAAAAAAAAAAAGAAGAAGAAGAAGCATTTCATTGCAGCTTTAACATACTCAATAACAGTTTCCAGAGCAAAGAGACATCTCTTTCAAAAGTGGTTATAAAATTTTTAGGTTTGCTCTTGAATTAATACAGTTATACAATATTGACCTCATTATAAGCCCTGTAAGCCATAAAATTGAATGATTGATTTTTAGTAAAACTAAAATTCTATTGATAATATATTTCACCTGGCTCTCTATAAAAGTCTTAGTTTTTCTCTAATGCCC